TAAGAAGAGAACTCCCAGAACGACCACCAACTGGGAGCTCTTTGGCGCTATTGCTGCAACATGGGAAGATGCTGTCATTGACAACATTGACGAGGAATACGATCGACTGGTTCAGCACCTCCATGATTGTGCAAGGAATGCCGAGAGAGAGATAGCCATAAAAAAATGCCTGTCTTTGAAAACTCGAGCTTATTCGCCAATGTGCTTTGCCGCATGCCTCAGGCAACCGCAAGCAAATGTCCAAACTTGCAAAGCAGTGCAGAGATGCGATCAAGGAAGACCTCAAAGAGAGAAGATCAGAAGTGCTGGTAGATGCAGCAGAAACCGGGAAAAGCATTCATAATGCCCTCCTGTCCTTCGCCAACTACAAGACCAAGATGACTGCCCTCCAACATCCTGATGGATCTATCACATCTTCCAGAAGAGCAACGGAGAAGATTATCCATGACTTCTACTCAGATCTCTTTGATAGTCACATCCCCCTGCCCACATACCAAATTCCGCAGCATGGATATGTCATTCCCAACATTCTCCCTTCCAAAATCCGACACGCCATTTTGTCGATAAAGAAATGAACAGCACCTGGCCCAGACAAGGTCAGACCTGAACACCTGAAGAACCTGCCATCAGTACTCATCAATACACTGGCTCGGCTCTTCACACGCTGTCTGAATGCAAGGTTCCGTCCCAATGGAAAACCAGCAGGACTGTACAAGAAGGGAGACATCCACGACATTGGCAACTATCGCCCGATCTGTCTGTTGTCTGTCATCTACAAGCTGTTCACTCAAGTCCTCTTCAATAGGATTGGCAGAACACTAGATGAAGGACAACCATGCGAGCAAGCTGGTTTCTGAAAGGGATTCAGCACAATTGACCATATCCACACAATGACCATGCTCAGTGAGGTTTCTCAGGAGTTCAAGATGCTGTTCTGTCTAACGTTCATTGATTTAAAGAAGGCCTTTGATTCTGTTGAGCTGGAAGTGGTCACTGAAGCCCTAGTCAATCAGGGCATTCAAACTCAATGCATCAGGATTCTCCGTAAGCTATATTACGGATTCACTACCAGGATCTCACCATTCTACAGGGAGGTGATCATTGATGTCAAGAGAGGGGTTCGACAGGATGATACCATTTCTTCGAAACTCTTCAGTGCCACCCTCGAGAACATCATGCAATGACTGGAATGGGAAGGAATGGGAGTGAAGGTAGACGATCGGCAACTACACCACCTCCACTTTGCTGATGACATCGTTCTAATAACACCAAACATTAGCCAAGCGGCACAAATGATGGCCAACTTCGACCACGAATGTGGAAAGGTCGAACTACAGCTGAATATCACAAAGACAATGTTTATGAGAAACAGTCTCCCTCCTGACATTCCATTTGCTCTCAAGGGAATGACCATCTCTGAATGCAACAGTTATGTGTACCTAGGTTGAGAAGTCAACATGACGAATGACCTAGCACCTGAGCTGCATAGGAGGAAGAGAGTGGCTTGGAACGCCTTCAAGAGCATAGAGGAAATAGCTAAGAGGACAAAGAACCTCCAGCTCCGGGCACATCTCTTTGATTCCACTGTTCTTCCTGCATTAACATAAGCCTCAGAGACCTGGGCCCTATGAAAACAGGATGAGAATGCTCTTCGGGTCTCCCAAAGAGGAATCGAAAGAGCTATGCTTGGAGTATCACATTTCACTCAAATGAGAGAAAGAATCTGGAGTTCTGACCTCTGTCAACTGTCAAGAATCAGGGACGCTGTCTCGTTTGCCAAGGTGTCGAAAATCAGATGGGCTGGACACATAATGAGATTTGCAGATGACCGCTGGACTAGAGCTGTTACTGACTGGATTCCATGGGACATCAAAAGACCGCATGGCCGCCCACCTATGAGATGGTCAGACTTCTTCGTCAAGACCCTGAACGATCGGTTTGAGGCTCTTCGTGTTCCTAGTATGAACAGACACCATTGGGCTACACTAGCACGCGACAGGGACAAATGGAGACGTTACTGGTGCCCGCTCAAGCAAATCGATGATTAATCGCAAGTCAAGTGATCAAGTGAACACATAAAAATATCACATGTAGAATATTAGAACTCCAATGTAAGATTCATAATACATTTAAAGATCATCTCCCTACTCTGGGATCTCCAGAAGTATGGCAAGGAATTTCTGACGGTTTAAGTTCATGCAACCCTATGACCAGCATTAAGGGATTGCTGGAAGGATCTGTGGGAATGCGTGTTCTGCTCTGGTTACTGGACGTTTTGTGCCTGGTCTTTTATTTTACATTTAAGCGGTACAAAGTTGAGACCCAACAAAGACAGGCAGCTCAAGCTGTTATGACGACTAAAATCCATGATAAACAAAAAGGGGGAGATGTTGGTGCCCAACAAGACTATTAGGATGAGCCTGTGGAGACTGTCCTGCAAACAGGCAGGAGTGCAGACCCCATGAAAATGGGCGAGCCATGACTCCTGTGTCCGGATTGGTATGGAAAGGATTAACATCTCTTCCCTTGGCTGCCTTTTAGCTTTTAGTGTTACAGAGAACAACCTTCCCTCTCTCACAGATCCCTAACCCAGCTCAGCCTTGGAATACAGATGTTCTCCCCACATCTCCTTATCACTCTAGGTGCAAGGGCTGGAGTTCATGTTGCCAGGCTGCTTGGCCTTTGGATTCCTCTTCAGAGGCTTCGAGCATTGTTGTTGGACTTGCAATGTGACAAGAACAATGTAGTTTTTGTTATCTTGATATCCTCCTGTAACTTCCTTTCCCCCATTAATGCTTCCTTTGTACTGAGTGCATTTGAATCCATAGGATAGTGAATAAAAGAGGCTGTGGGACGCTTCTTTGCTGCTTCGCTGCCGGGGAAAAAGCAAGGAGCCCCCCCAGAAAATCTTATTTCTCTCGTGTCTCTTATCTCAGTGCCCCCAACTGAAAGAATATTCACACAACAGGTCGCAAGCAGGCAAATAGAGGCATATTTCATCTGACTGGTGTACAATGAATCAGAGAGCAGAAAAGATGAAGGGGTGGAAACGCAAAACCTATACAAGCTCAATTCACTGTATAGCAAGTGGAGAGTGGTGGTTGAGTTTGCTATCTTGAATGCAGAGTCTGCTGCTGCTGGCTTCCTATTATTGTTGCGGCAAAAGATTCCACAGACTACCTGGTGCATCAACTAGAATGATAAAATAAAGAGCTGTAATTCTGGAAACAACTGGAGGTTGGTATATGATTTTTACATGCCATACACAAAGAAACCTGGTTATGTGGGCAACTGAAAGTTCAAACACTGTAGCGGAGAGAAAGTATGTGAGCCCTGTCACCACAATGATGACAAAAACAACAAAGGAAAGGGCAGGGGGAAAGAACACCCAGTAGAATGGAATCTCAGGCACAAAATGGAGAGTGCTCAGTCAGCCTAAACACTCCTTTTCACAAAAGTGTAAGTACCTTGTTAGTATTGGGCACAGCCAGGGTCCAACCCAAGTCTGAGCATCTCAGAGGTTTTCAACTTCAGCACCTGAGGTTGTGAACTAGATAACCCCTAACTGTGGCGTTGGAGCCAGCACATGATCAGATGGTTAGCAACATTTCTGGCTTCTGCTCATGAGATGCCAGTACCTGCCCCATTGTGGCAATGCCCAAACACTTCCAGACTCTGTCTCGGGGTGTTGGGAGGTAGAATCTTTCAAGTTTGGAAACTCCTGTTCTGATATCACCGCAACACCCTTGTGGCTGAGATTTTGTTGTAAAGGAAGATTGCGAAGTGGACATCAACCTCTGACCTGACCCAGATAGCCAGGTGAGTTCAGCGTTTCTGCTTGGCATGAGCTGGGGAAAGCCTGTTGATCTGTTCCTTCACTCAGCTGACTGAGAGCCAAACCTTCATCAGGACTTCGGGGATAAAGATTCTTGTCCTCTGGAAGAGTCTAGAGACAAGGAAAATCAGAGGGGCGGAGGTGGACAAGTTTGGTGGGAGTTCTGATTTCAAGCAGGGTGGGACTGGATCAGAGAGAAGAGTTGAACCCAACTAATGCTAGAGAACAGCAGGTATAAAAGTCCTGTGGAATGAGACCCCGAGTCGCCACCCACAAATGGCCTCTCTGGTTCCCAATCAAGTCACTTAATGGCCATGATCCCAGAGGCTCAGAAACAAATCTCGGAATCCAGCAGCTTTTGGTGGAAATCCAATTTAATTTAATTATTAAAATTTCATTTTTTTATTTAATTATTAAAATTTCAGAATTCTAAAATCACGCAGCTGCTACTGCAGCAGCACGACATCATATGCTATTCATAATCAGCAATAGAAAACAAACTGTCAAATGTTGCCTTTTCGGCAGATCTGAATGTTGAGGTGAAATCTCAAATAATGATGGTGGGTCTGGGATCAAATATTGAATGTAATCACAGTAGAGAGAGAGTAATGTGGAAATCGTCAGCTACACTGGTAGGGGGAGGGTGGGGGATGGGGGTATACTGGGGGTTTTGGTGGTGGAAAATGTGCACTGGTGAAGGGACAGATGTTTCATCATTGCATGACCGAGACTTAAACCCAAAAGCTTTGTAACTGCTCTCATGGTGATTCAATAAATAAATTTATTAAAAAAAAAAAAGTCCTGTGGCCTTCTGGGCAGGCCAGGAAGGGAAAGATAACTCAAGCATTGATATATGAGTTCAGCAACGAGAGGAGAGGGCAGGTGGACGAAGCTGATTTATGTGATGTCCGGGCAGTTTTGAGGGGGGGGATCAGAATGCAAATGGGACTTTCTAGCTTACCCCTAACGCTAAGTCAGGCTGTAGAGGCAACTTTCTCCTCTGCACTGCCCTGTCCTAGAACCAATCCTCACCTGACCCAGTGACTCACTTGGCTTGTGGGAGATGGCGAGGTATAAGTAGAAAAGGTTGGCTGACTTGGACTGGATCCTAAATGCCCAGCGCCAGTCATAGCCTCCTTCCAGCCTCACCCGTGGTGGAGACAGCATGGTGGGCCTCCTTCTGCTCTGGGCCAGCCTCTTGGTGGTCGGTGGGTTATTGGTAGGGACTCCACTGTGGGTGTTCTGCAGGCATTTCTACCTGGTGGACATCCCCGCTGACATCAGCCATCCCAAGAAGCTTCGGTTTTACCACTGCATATTTGAACTGTTGATGACGTGGGTGAGTCCCATTTTTGGTCTGTCCCTTTCTCCTGAGACTTTGGGGGTGGGGCAGGAAAACACGATCCGGAAGTGTCTTGTGTCACCTGGTCAGCCGCAGAGGCCAACAGTATCTGCTCCTGTCTGAATCCTTACCCTCTGGGACCCTTTGGGGGTCCCACCTTTTTCTGGGGGTTCTCCAAAGGGACTAGTAAGCCACCAAATTCAAACATGTCCTGGGACTTTCTCCCAGACTCACCGCTCTGGGGCTGAGGAGAGGAAGGAATTGTTAGAGATCTCTGGCCTCATCCCACCTACCTGCTCATGAATGCCAGCCGAGCAGGATGCAGGAGGAGAGAGAAACAACACGACAGAATATGGCTTTTCAAAAGCAGCTGTTTCAGGGCTGGAGCAATAGTATAGTGGGTAAAGGTTTGCCTTGTAAGTGGCCAACCCGGGTTTGATCCCTGGCATCCCATATGTTTCCCCGAGCACCATTAGGAGTAATTCCTGAGTGCAGAGCCAGGATTAACACCTGTGCATCGCTGGGTGTGACCCAAAAAGAAAAAAAAAAAGTAGCTGTTGCTTGGGAGCTCTGGGAGAATGTTCATATTGGGTAAGTGATGGTGGGGCTAAGGCCGGTTGGCCTGAAAGACATATGTTTTCTCAGAGGGCTCAGGGAAACGACCACAGAGAACACCTGTTTTCAACGCCTCCTGGAAAGCAGGGTGACCTATGCTCCCAGGAATCCTGCAAGAGGAGAACCCAGGGCCAAATCTTCCTCCCCCAGGCTCTGCTTGTGCAAGATTGTGCCTCCAACCACTGTCCTGACCTTGACACTCATTTCATTGGCTGGTTCCCAACAAAGAGACTCAGTCCCTCATTTGCAAAGTAGGGGAAAATCATAGTCCTATGTCAGTGGCTCTCTCTCTCTCTCTCTCTCTCTCTCTCTCTCACTGAATCACCTTGAGACACACAGTTACAAAGTTGTTCATGATTGGGTTTCAGTCTTACAATATTCCAACACCCTCCCATCACCAGTGTACATTTCCACCACCAGTGTCCCTAGTTTCCTTCCCGCCATCCCTACCCCAGCACTCCTCCTCCTCCTCCTCCTCCTCATTATTCTCTTTTTATCCTCCCTCCCTCCCTCTCTCTCTCTCTCTCTCTCTCTCTCTCTCTCTCTCTCTCTCTCTCTCTCTCTCCTTTGGGTATTATGGTTTGCAATGCAGGTCATCAGTGGCCTTGTGTGGGAAAACATGTGTGTGTGTGTGTGTGTGTGCATGCCACACATGTACATATGTGTGGCAGGCCTGCACACATCATAGCCTCATTACTCTTTGTTGGTTTCTTTTTCCCCGTGAAGATGGGATTGACAGCTCCTATGTGTGATGCTTTAGTCTTGCTCTGGGGATTAATATTGGGGAAAGCCAGGTACAATCCAGCAGAATCTTCCTGCAGGGAGTTTGGGGTCTCCTGAGGAGGGAGAGGAGATGGCGATCAACAAGCAACTCTGACCCCAGTGTGCAGACCACTTCATGGAGTGCCAAGCTCTGGGAAGAGAATGAAGCAAGCATTAGAATACTTGGTTCCCAGCACCCACAGAGGGAAGGAATGTTAGAAGCCCATGGATTTGGATGGTGTAAAACTCCTCCTCTTGAGTACTGATGGGCTCAGTGGTGGAGCTTTGCCTTGCATGTGTGGGACCCTGGTGATGAGGTGACCCAAAGTCAGCAGAAAAATCAGGAAAGCTCAAAAGAATAGCTGAGGGTCTGGAGCAGGTTGGGCGTTTGCCTTGCACGCAGCCCACCGGATTCGATTCCCAGCATCCCATATGGTCCCCTGAGCACTTCCAGGAGTAATTCCTGAGTGCAAAGCCAGGAGTAACACTTGTGCATTGCCGGGTGTGACCCAAAAGGCAAAAAAAATAAAAAAATAAAAAGAATAGCTGAGAAACAGGATGAGATACTCTAAGGATGCGGGAATGCAGGGATGCAGAGACAGGAAACCTCTAAGAATAACTTCCAGAATAATCTGATTTCCAGACAAAGTAGCTGCCATCCATTGCCCTACTCTTCTCTTTTCAAATACCTCGAGAATAACCTGATTTGTAGACAAAGAAGGCAATGTCATGCATTGCTCTGTTTCCAGCTGCTAAGCTGAAAAATGTTTTAACCGTTCAAGGCTAATCACAAACATCTAGCTTCTGGACTAAAATTACACTTGCTCGCCTAGTTAGAAGAAAGCTGAGCAGGATGTGATAAGAATGCAAAAAAAAAAAAGAAAAAAGAAAGAAAGAAACAGAAAGAAACTTTGCCTGGACTTAGCTTCCAGGCTGTTTGTTGTAGTGAGACCCTTGCTCTCAGGCTCAGGAGCCCCTGCAGGTTAAAAAAATACTCTTTAATTTGGCAAACAAGTGCGTTTGAGACTTCTTGGGTAATCTCTCACTCTGCCACACTATGCCCAGCATGATGTGTTCCTTCTAGGACCTCCAGGAGTGACTCCAAGTGCTGGGCCCCAAGCACATGCAATTGTAGACCAACAATCTGAAAAAAAAAATCACATCATTTCACTCCTGTCTCATGGGAAGGTACTATCTCTTGTCATTAGGAATGGAGGTGATGGAAACAGAATCGCAAATGGATGGCCAGAGGTGTCAAGGACTTGCTTAGAGCATTAGCAGTGGCAGCAGACAGTGTCCAAAGCTTGGGCTCATCTTCCTTCCTTTGAAATGACAATATCAGCCAGGGCTAGCTCATATGTCGATGTCTGGGTGGATAGAATCTCCATCGGCTACAACAGCTAGTAACTATAGACAAACCAAATGGCTTTCCTCTGTAACCCATGGATTTTTTTAAATTTCAGGTCCTCAAAAACATTTGAGACACCAAAGGCCAAAGTGGCCTGGGTTCAGGAAAGGGTTGCAGACCCCTAAGAAGAGTTGGCGTGAGCGGGAGAAAGAGCACAGGGGTGACAGCACTTGTATTATACAATGCTGAGCTGGTCCTTTGATTGCTGCCAGGAGCTGTCCCTGAGAGCAGAGCTAGGAATAAGTCCCGGGCATTGCTGAATGTGGCCTTCCAGAGTCAAATCATTACATTTTTAAAAAAGAAAGTTCTTTGGGGTAGAGCCTCTTTTATTTGTCTAATTATGATTTTTTTATTTGCCAAAGGAGCCAGAACAGCATGAAGTCCCCACCCCTTGACTCCTGGCACCAGCCACCAGTTCTGATGATGATTGTCTCATAGCCAAAAATGGTCAACTGTGCACCACCCTTTCCACCTTGCTCTCATTTCTTATGAAGTGGATCCTGGATGTCATATTCTTTTATCCCTCGGGGATATTCCCAGCCCTTTAAAAAATGTATAGCGTTTGCCTTGCAAGCGGCCGACTGGGGTTCGATTCCCGGCATCCCTTACAGTCCCCCCAGCACTGTCAGGAGTAATTCCTGAGTGCAGAGCCAGGAGTAATTCCTGTGCATTGCTGGGTGTGAACCCCCCCCAAAAAAGCAGAAAATAAATAAATAAAAAATGTAGACACAACACAATCACCCTAACTTCAAATTGGCAGCCAATGCTCGCCATGGCCACATGGGTGAGGCTGACCTGAAGGGTCTCCCTGGAGAATGTGTCATGTCCAGACATAAGAGGAGCAGGGTCTGAGTGGGGGTGAGGGATACTCCCGAAAGAGGGACCCTCAATAGAATAGTCTGCAGCCGGGTTTGTAGGCTGGATCATGAGGTGTTGGGGACAGTGGTTTGGGAGGGGCTGGTGCCACGTGGGTCATACTGCAGAAGGGCCACGGGAGGCCAACACAGTGGCTCCAGCCACTTCACAGAAGCTTTCCCTGGAAACCGTCTGACTTTCCTCTCCTCTCACCAACAGGGCCTGCTTTTAGAGAGGTTGCACATCTGTTCCATGGGCCAGTTTGTCCGTTTCATACATGACCTGGAGCCTCTGAAGAAGGACCCGGATGTCGTGGTTACGGACCTGCGCTTTGGGACGATCCCTGTGAAGTTGTACCAGCCCAGGAATTCCTCCAGCACCCTCAGACGTGGCGTCGTGTTCTACCACGGAGGCGGGGGCTTTTTCGGGAGCCTGAGTGCGTGAGAGCTCTTCCCTAGGGGCCCCCCGGTGGAGGCACCAGCCTCAACAGTACGTGAGACCCTCATAAGCATGATCCTCATGGCCCGGCCTTCCGGGGTTTGAGAGGCTCTATTAGGGCTTGGGGGGTTCACCAAGATAGTTACTGGGACAGAGGTGAGGTGACAAAGGTCACTCAGATGGGACGTTTTGATATCTCTCTGGAAATAGAGGTATATACATGCACCCTCTCTATATACTCTTTTTGTTTTTTTCCTTTTTGGGTAACACCTGGCGATGCACGGGGTTTACTCCTAGCTTTGCACACAGGAATTACTCCTAGTGGTGCTCGGGGGACTATATGGGATGCTGGGAACCAAAACCAGGTTGGCCACATGCAAGGCAAATGCACTACCCGCTGTGCTATTGCTCCAACCCCTCTCTCTCTATATATAACCCCTTTCTATATACTTTCTCTATATATATGAACACATGTGGAATATTTATATTATATATGGACTACTGTGTACCTTTGCGCACATAGATGGAAGGCATATGCATGTGTGTGGAACATAGGCATTTAAATATGGACTATTTAGGCAAATAGATATGTCACAAAATGTATGAAATATGTACATTAAGTGTATGAAATTACTTTCGTTTATCAACGGGGTATATATGCATCTACCAATGAATGGAACACACACACACACATACACACACACACACACATGCACGCACGCACATAATAATGCTCATTTGAATCCGTTTGCATATATGTATATGTGTCTCTATTTTTATGTTTTGAGGCCACATCCAGTGGTACTTAGGGGCTTCTTTGGTGTATGGGGTGTGATCCCAGAAGTGCTGGGGTCCACAAGGACCCGAACCTCTCACTCCAGTTCTGTCCTGTGAGCCCCTACATGTGTGTCTCTATGTTTGTGTGCGTGGAGTACGTTGCCTGCCTATATGCAGGTCACTTATGGCCATGTTTATATGAGCATCCATATCTATAGATGTAGGTGAATATGCCACATGTGAATTGCAGAACCTCTGGGGTGTCGCTTAGAGAAAACTCTTCATCAGGACCCCAGAGCACCCCAGATTGAGACTCGTGAGCACTGAGCAGGCCTGAGGACTGTGCCCGTGCCATCCATGGTGGCAGTCAGTCAGGAGGGGGCAGCACTCTTTTTTTAAAATTTAGTATTATTTTTATAAAGTAGTTAATCATATTTGATTAAATTCAATATTCGAACACCAATCCCACCACCATTACACCTCCCCACCACCACAGTTTGGATGTTTCCATCCCGAACCCAAACCTCTGCCCCAAGGCAGAACCCAAATAGTTTCTTTTGAATTGTTTCTCTTGGGCTGGAGCAATAGCACAGCGGTAGGGCGTCTGCCTTGCACGCAGCCAACATGGCCGACCCGAGTTCGATTCCTCCGCCCCTCTCGGAGAGCCCGGCAAGCTACCGAGAGTATCTCGCCCGCAAGGTAAAGCCTGGCAAGCCACCCGTGTTGCATTCGATATGCCAAACACAGTAACAACAAAGTCTCCATTGGAGACGTTCCTGGGCCCGCTCGAGAAAATCCATGAACAACTGGAGGACAGTGACAGTGTTTCTCTTGAATAAACCGCTGAAAATGATCCAGAAAACTTTTCTTAGAGGAAAGTGTGTGAAGATTGTTGTATTTCACCCAGGGGGCATGAAGCCCTTCTGTAGAAGATCACAAACATGTTGTTAACGGTTGAGCCTTGTGTGCTTATATATAAAATATATATTTAGGGACAGCACGCTTGCCTTTCTAGTACGTGTCCAAACCTTCTGTTTTCTAGACACCCACCATGACATCTGCCTTCTTCTGTGCAAGGAGAGTGACTCCGTGGTCCTATCGATCGGGTGAGTAGGGGGGAGACGGGCAGGTGGGGGAGGCAGATCTGCCCTGGAGGAGCGGGACAGAGGAGCGGGAGGCTGGGCGGCAGCTGGAGGGACAAGGAGCTTTTAGAAGCCAGCGGGGAGGGAGGCAGGGAGAGGGTCATGCAGAGTCCCCCCTTGGAGAGAGAGAACCTGCAGAGTTAAGTGGAAGCTGGGGGTCGGGGGGAGTACACGCAGGCTCGTGCAGTCTCAACAAAAGTGGGATAGAAAGGTTGTGATCTTCGCAAAGCAGAGCAGGTGAAGGGCTTCACAGCCACGAGTTGTTTCTGGGGGTTGGGGGAGGGGAACCTGGAACAGCCTCTAGTGAGTGGAACAACCCCACACTTTTCGTGCTTAGTACCGCCTCCATGAAGGTCTGTGGTGCCCAGGCCTGGAAGTGAGACAATGGAGAGCCCCCGCCCCCCAATCTCCTCACTAACCCAGGAACATCTCCCACTCACCTGGGTACCGGAAGGGCTTGATGTACAAGGTCGGGGGAGGGGGGGGCGGTGGAGGGGCAAGGATCCTCAAATCTGGCAAACTAGACACCTAGGAGGAACTTCTGCAGGGGTGGGGCCGCAACCCTGGGGAGGGCCAGTCTCAGGCGCATGATGAGCTCGGTGTAGGGAGTGTCCCCCCGCGGCCGGGAGGACCCGTTTCCCAGGGCTCTGGGTGCACAGCCAGCTGAGCAGAGTATGAAGTTCTGGTGAGACCAGATGAGGGAGACACAGAAAAATGCCTGTTCTTACAATTGTTGGCTCCAAACCATCCACAAGGGGTGTTGGTCCAAGTCGGTGGAGCCCACGGGGTGCAGAACTCTTCTGGTTGTGCAGAGTCGAGCACTCAGCATGCGCTAGCAAGCCCATTAGGAAGTTACTAGAGAAATCCAAGGGAAAGGGTGTGGGTTGAGGCCAGGACAAACCCAGGGCACGTGGCCTAGAAGAAGGGCTGGCCCGCCTGCTTGCTTGTTTTCTTTCTTTCTTTCTTTCTTTCTTTCTTTCTTTCTTTCTTTCTTTCTTTCTCTCTCTCTCTCTCTCTCTCTCTTTCTTTCCATTCCTTCATTCCTTCCTTTCTTTTCCTCCATTCATTCCTTCATTTCTTTTCCTCCTTCCTCTCTTTCTTTCTTTCTTTCTTTCTTTCTTTCTCTCTTTCTTTCTTTCCCTCCCTCCCTCCCTCCCTCCCTCCCTCCCTCCCTCCCTCCCTTCCTTCCTTCCTCTCTCTCTTTCCTTTCTTTCCCTCCCTCCCTCCCTCCCTCCCTCCCTTCCTCCCTCCCTCCCTTCTCTTTCTTTCTTTCTTTCTTTCTTTCTTTCCATTCCTTTATTCCTTCCTTTCTTTTCCTCCCTTCATTCCTTCATTTCTTTTCCTCCCTCCTCCCCTCCCTCTCTTTCTCTCTTTCTTTCTTTCTTTCTTTCTTTCTTTCTTTCTTTCATTCTCTCTCTCTCTTTCTTTCTTTCTTTCTTTCTCTCTTTCTCTCTTTCTCTCTTTCTTTCGCAACCTAGAAGTGCTCAGGGATTGTTCCCAGTGCTGTGATCGGGCATCACTCCTGGCTGTGCTCAGGTGACCACATGAAATGCCAGAGATGAATCCAGGTCTGCCACGTGCAAGCCAAGTGCCCTGTCTATCCGCTGTACTACTGCTCTGGCCCCAGAGTCTTTCCTTTCTCATGATTTTATTTGTAATTGGCATTGAAAGTAGTAACATTTATCCCTAGACCCTAGTTCTGGAATCTCTTGGTGAAAGGGAACACCCAGCTAATGCCAGGCTAGCATGAACTGAGTCTGGAACTCAGAGATCTGCATGGCACACACAGACACACACAAACACACACACAAACACACACACAAACACACAGTGTATCTCATGAACTCAGCTGATCTGGCGGAGACCTTATCCTAACTGCTAGCTCCTGGGATCACTTAAGTTTACAAAGTCCTCTCATCTGACCTGTGAACTGTGACACGTTTATTTTCTATTAAATCCTGCTCTATTCGAGAGTTAGTCGTCAAAGAATCTCCAAACAGGATTTAGGTGGCAAACTCAAACAAGTTCAGAAAGATGGGGCTGTGCTTGTGGGAGCTCACATTTGACCCAAGGTGGATGGTAGGGCTTGGTGGCCACCATTGCCCCCTCATAGGACACCCAGATCAGGAGAAGAGCAGCTCACATGAACCAATTTCCTATGTCAAGCAGTAGGGCTAATTCACCTCCTTTTGTTCTGTCCCTTAACTTCATCTGCCCAGTTTCCAGAAGGGAAGTTATAGGAGGAAACAGGCTAGTGGAGGCTGGACACGAGTGTGTGGGAGCTCTGGTGGGGCAACCAGGATAAAGTGTTCCCCTGGGTTCCTTCGCAGATACCGCAAGATGCCCGAGTTTAAATTTCCGGTGGTGACCAACGACTGCTTCGCAGCCACTGTCTACTTTCTGAGGTCACTGAACATGTTTGGGGTGGACCCTGGCCAGGTGGTGGTCTGTGGTGACAGTGTGGGAGGAGGAGTGTCCGTGGTGTTGTGCCAACAACTTCTGGACTGTCCCCAGCTGCCCAGGATTCGTGCCCAGGTGGTCATCTACCCCAGTCTGCATGGCCTGGATTTCCAGTCACCTTCCAACCAGCAGAATAATGTCCCAATGCTCCCTAGACATGTTGTTGCCCGCTGTTATCTCTGCTACCTGAATATCGACCCCTCCTGGAAGAAAGACATGATATCGGGGGCCAATCTGCCCCCTGAAATCCGGGAGAAGTACAGAAAGTGGTTGGGCCATGATAACATCCCCGAGCGGTTCAAGCAGAGGGGCTATCGGCCAAAGCCCGTAATGCCCCTGAATGATGCCGCCTATCGGGAGACCCGCTTGGTGCTGGACATAGGGATGTCCCCCCTGGTGGCAGAGGACAAAGTGATGTCTCAGATGCCTGAAGCTCTCATTGTGAGCTGCGAGTATGATTATCTCCTGGATCACTCGTTGTTGTATAAGAAGAGGCTGGAGGACTTGGGTGTCCCGGTGACATGGTGTCATGTGGACGACGGTTTCCACGGAGTGCTCGTCACCGTTAGCAAGGGCTTCCTGCACTTCCCCTGCTCCCGGAAAATCATGGATGCCATTGTTGATTTTATTAAGGGACTGTGATCTTGCTCTTTCGGCCACAGCACCATGAGTATGGGTTTCTCCATCCTCTAGTTCCTTCCCTCCGGAGCTCTCTGTTGCTGATGTTTGGGAAGCTAAGTTGGGGTTAGGCTGAGGGTTCAAGTAGGCATGACCTGGATACTCCAGGTTCTGGAATCACAGAATTCAGGTGATTGGTGTTTGAAGAAAGAACAGTAGAGGGGATGGAGTGATAGTACAGGGGGCAAGGGGCTTGCTTGGCATGCAGCAGACCCAGGTTCAATCCCTGGCATCCCATATGGTCCCCTGAGCACCACCCAGGAGTGATCCCTGAATGCAGAGCCAGGGAGTGACCCTTGAGCATTTCAAGGTGTAGCCCAGAAAATAAAACAAAATTTAAAAAAAAAAAAAAGGAAGAGGAAAGTGCAGTAGAAGCTGGGGTGGTGGGGTGGGGCTATCTTAAGTTCATTGTTGAGACAATTGGAGTTAACCATTATCATTTATGGGCGAATGAACTTGGAAAGGTAACCCATAGTCTCTGAGGGAGAGTGCAGACACCAGGAATGTCCACTTTGCTGGGCTATGGGACACCACAGGGGGTATGAGGTCCAAGTCCATGGGCATTTTTCCTATTGGTCTCTGATGTTCCGGATGGCAGACAGGGGTAGAACAGCTGACTTCAACCTCCTCCTCTGGGTCCTGGTGATGTCTTCCCTATTGTCCCCCAGCCTCTGAGCTCAGAATCTTGATCTAAGAGAATCTTAAGAGAACAGGGGCAGGTTTTCCACGGTGCTAGGTAAGAATGGCAGGTAAAAACAGCCCTATTGCCCATTAAGGAAGGTCCCACCATCTAGGGGTCAAAGTTAGGCCCCCAGCCAGAGGGTCCCAATCAACCTTCCAGGCGTTAGAGCTGGATTGGAGGTGTCTGGAGTCAGACACCTAATAGATCGAGTCTGACCAAACTCAGTCAAGTCAACGCTGGGAAACGAAAGGAAGCCAAAGGGAGGAAGTTGAGGATTGAGAACTATTTCAGTCCTAAGACACAGACCTGACTCAAATTGGCCTATTTAAGAAAGAATTTTTTTTTTTAGATTTTTATTAGTGAAACACCATGAGGTACAGTTGTAGATTTACAAATGTTTGTGCTTGGGTTTCAGTTATACAATGATCGAATACCCATCCGTCCACCAGTGCCCATTCTCCACCACCACTGATCCCAGTATCCCTCCCACCCCCTGTCCCTCCCCCCCATCCCACCCTGCCTCTGTGGCAGGGCATTCCCTCTTGAAGAAAGAATGTTTTTTGAAGATCTAAGCTGCAACCACTGGTACTTTGTAATGTGCCTGTCAACTTGGTGAGCAGGGGATGGGGCGGAGGTTAAGCTGAGGAGGAAATGTGGAAACACTGGTGGAGGGAAATTGGCATCGGTGCTGGGGTTGGTGTTGAAAAATAGTATATCCTGGAAACTCAACTATCAATAACTTTGGAAATCACATTAAAATTTTTTTAAAAGATTTGGTATAGGTCACTGTAAATTCTGTTTTATTTTTTTGCTTTTTGGGTCACACCCAGCGATGCACAGGGATTATTCCTGGCTCATGCACTCAGGAATTACTCCTGGCAGTGCTCAGGGGACCATATGGGATGCTGGGAATCGAACCCGGGTCGGCTGCATGCAAGGCAAACACCCTACCCGCTGTGCTATCACTCCAGCCCCAAGTCACTGTAAATTCTGTGGCTCAATTAGGGATGTTGGCTCTAGCAACTGCAACAGTGCCGTCAATCACCTTGTTCCTTTTGCCTCTCTCCTCTGGTCGTCTTTCCCTTCACTCCTCCTGTGACCTTATCCCTGAGCCAAGTATCTTCTCAAAGACTTGCCTCGTTCACAGCAGTCCCGGTAGAAATCACATGACAACGCTAGGACCTCATCAGCTTCTGAGAGATGTGTTGAGGTGCCACAGCCGAGGGAAAAGAATGTTTTGAGTGGCCAGGCCCAAGTCCAGTCCTCCCTTGGGGTGAAGGATGGAGCACATGCCAACCTAAAACCCCGGATGCAAAGCAGAGATGCTCCTGGGTGATATTTCCTCTTACCACATTATCATCCCACTTCCATTAGATCCTGTAAGTGAAACCTGAAGATATTCTCCTAAATAAAACCTTTTTTTTTTTTTGCTTTTTTGGGTTACATCTGGTGATGCATAGGGGTTACTTCTGGCTTTGCACTCAGGAATTACTCCTGGTGGTGCTTAGGGGACCATATGGGATGCTGGGAATCAAACCTAGATTGGCCACCTGCAAGGCAAACCCCCTACCTACTGTATTATCACTCCAGCCCCTAAATAAAACCTATAAGTATTAGAGATAAGACTGAAGAAGCTTTGACCATCCTCATCCTTTCCCTTTTAAATGACATATTCTTTAATACGTATGTTATGAGGTGTGCATGTGTGTGTGTGTGTGTATGTGTGTTTTCAGGGCCTGTTTCTATGATTCACCCTCATAGCTATGTACCCATGAGAAATGGCATTAATTGGTAGAATGACTACCAATTAGCTCCATGACCTCAGAACTAATTCCAAAGTCCTTCGGAGGGTCAAGGAGGCAAAGGAAACTGATGGTGTGGTAATCACTGGACAAGTTTTGTTTCACTGGACCTTAAACTTGAGCCATGGGACTGAGGTTAGCATGGAGGAGAGAGAGGAGTGAGGGCAGAGGGGTTCCAGAGACTATGACAGAGGCCACTGCCCCTGTGACAGTCTTGTGGTATGGTACCACTAAACCCCTAAAGCACTTAACATTTATACTTTTTTTATTTTGCTTTTTTGGGTCACATCCAGCGATGCACAGGGGTTCCTCCTGGCTCTGCACTCAGGAGTTACTCCTGGCGGTGCTCAAGGGACCATATGGGATGCTGGGAATCGAACCCCGGTTGGCTGCATGCAAGGCAAACGCCCTACCCACTGTGCTATCTCTCCAGCCCCACATTTATACTCTTTTAAGCCAATGTTACCCCAGTCAAAAAATAAGCTTACGCAAAAAGTGGATTAATGTATAATCAGCCGAAAAGAGATAAAGGAACAGAAAATACTGACAAAAGGGTAAGACTGAGCAAGAAGGCAGCAAATATGTAATTGGTGCCCCAGAAAAAAAAAGAGGTAGAAGAACCAACAATGAAGGCAAATTTCCTGAAATGCTTGAAAAATTTAGTATTTAGAAGTACTATTGTAGTTTTTAATGTATTTTAAAACTTTTTATACTTTTGGGGGCTGGTGCACGCGGCCGACCAGGGTTTGATCCCATGTAATTCCCTGAGCACTGCCAGGGATAGTTCCTGAGTGCAGAGCCAGGAGTAACCCTGTGCATTGCCGGGTGTGACCCAAAAAGCAAAAAAAACAAAAACTTTTTATACTTTTTTTTTTTTTTTTGGCCTTCTGGGCCACTCCTGGCTGCGCTCGAGGCTTACTCCTGTGTCTACGCTCAGGGATCATTCCTGTCGGGCTCAGGGGACCATGAGGGGATCAAACCCAGGGTGGCTTAGTCACATACTATTTCTGTGGCCCCAATTTTTTTAAATACTTTTAAAATATCTTAAGAGCAAAACCTTCTAAAATATAAAAGAAACAACTGACATAAAAAGCAAATACCACATATTTTTTTCAATTTTATTGAATTACCGTGAGATAGTTACAAGCTTTCATGTTTGAATTTCAATCACACAATGATCAAACACCCATCCCTCCACAGTGCACATTCTCCACTACCAATGTCCCCGGTATACCCCCCCCTTTCCCACCCTCCCCCTGTCTCCATGGCAGAATTCCACATATTTTAATGTGCAAGTGCCTTTTTGATAAAACTGATAAACAACCCGTGAAATCACTAAAGAAAAATAAGCAAAAAATAGTAGATACTAATGGGGCTGGAGTGATAGCACAGCGGGTAGGGCGTTTGCCTTGCACGCGGACGACCCAGGTTCGATTCCCAGCATCCCATAGGGTCCCCTGAGCACCGCCAGATATAATTCCTGAGTGGAGAGCCAGGAGTGACCCCTGTGCATCGCCGGGTGTGACCCAAAAAACAAACAAAAAAAATAGTAGATACTATTAATAAAAAAAAAAGTTACTTTAGTATATATCCTATTGGAAGATCTATAGAGTTTAATAAAGAGTATTTTTCAAATGACCACTGGAATGTGATAAGAGTCATAAATGGGTGAAAGATGTCTTCCAGGCAGGAGAGCAATCAGTGGAATGTAACAGCTCACAGACTTTCTTTCAGACTTCACGTTGCAACTCACCCTTCAGAAATGGTCACTTGCTGAGTTTTGCTGTTTTGTTAAAAACTGTTCACAACTATCTGCACAAACTATTTCTCGCGCAACACACTTCATTCTGGAGTCACCCACATCCCAGCGTGGCTCTGTATTCTCTTCCTTTACTTTATGAAACTCTCTCTCACACGCTCTCTTCACACTTCCTAGATAAAACCAACTTCAAAAAATAAATAACAGAAAATGCTTTGCTTCTGACTCCCTGTGTTTTTGAGGGAGTATTTCCTCTCTGTAAAGACTCAGTATATCCTAACATATGACAGAATGTAGAAACATTCCTGAACTACATATGATGCCTTGAGGCCTTCCAGGAGCTTTCTCTGAGCACAGAGTCAGAAGCAGGCCCTGAGCATTGCCAAATGTGATGCCCAAAACAAAAACAAAAGTCAAAACTAGATCGAAGCATCAGTTGTTCTTTTTTATTAGGCCAGACATGTGCAAGAACATAGTTCTTTTCACTAAGTGCTTTGTTTTGGAAATTAGTCAATGTTCATATGCATCCTATTATGCTACCATCATGCAATGCATTTATTATTCTGAAACTAAATTAATACTAATATTTTTAATATTTTATATTGACAATTTATTAATACATCTTATAATATAATACATCTTATAATATAATACATCTTATAATACATCTTATTATCTCATTTCTACTTTGGACAAACATGCAGGCTATCGAATGTAGCCTGCCCACAGGGCAGAGTCTGGCAAACTCCCCGTGGCGTACCAAATATGCCAAATACCAGTAACAATGATGGGTCTCATTCTCCTAAAGAGCCTTGAATATAATCTCAGGGCTAGGATGAAAGAGACGTTACTGGGGCCTGCTCAAGGCAATCGACGAATAACAGGATGATGAATGAATGAATGACAATTTAAAAACAGTTAATTTTTAAATTTATTTTTTATGGAATCAGCATGAGAGAGAGCATTATGAAACTATTCATGATTGCATTTGAGTCATACAATGTTCTAACACACATCCCTCCATCATTGTGATTTCCCAGCACTAGTGTCCCCCGTTTCCCTCCCCCTTCAAGCCACCTCCTACCCCTGCCTGACTCTATGGCAGGCACCTCTTCTCTCTCTCTCTCTCTCTCTCTCTTTCTCTCTCTCTCTCTCATTTTAGGCATTATGGTTTGCAATACAGATGCTAAAAGGTTATCATGTATTTCTCTTTACCTACTTTCAACACTGAGTTTTTGTACAGAGTGATCATTTCCAACTAGTAATGTCATACTGGACCCTCTTAACTACCCTCCATCCGCCACATCCCTGTAGTAATTCCCAACCACTGACCAGTCCTCTTGGCACATTTTCCCTGGCCTTAGATGTTAGTTTAATACTTTTGTTTTTATATTCCACAAATAAATGCAGCCATTCTATATCTGTCCCTCTCCTTCTGACTCATTTCACTCAGGATGATACTCTCCAAGTCCATCTACTTACAGGCAAATTTCATGACTTCATTTTTCCTAACAGCTGTGTAGTATTCCATCGTGCAGATGTACCATAGTTTCTTTATCCAGTCATCTGTTCTCGAGCACTCAGGTTGTTTCCAGATTCTGGCTATTGTTAATAGTGCTGCAATGAACATAGAAGTGCAGATGGTGTTTCTGCTGTGTGTTTTTGGACCCCCAGGTATAGTCCCAGAAGTGATATTGCTCAATTTCTAGTAAAAACAGATAATATTAAGTAGAATTTCTCTCATAATCTCCATTTTAATTTCTAGGATGATAAATATTGATTGTTGTACCCAGTACCATGATAATAAATAGCACTGCTTTTTCTAAAGAAAAACCCTTTCTGGTGTGTGGCATTTGCCAGTTCTATGGTGCAAATGACTTATTTTAAGCTACACATAAACACACATTACTTTTCGGAATGTGGCATTGGGAAGACATGGATAACAATTAGTTCTCATGAGCAGGTTCAACATAGCTCCAGCACCACTAATATGATTCATGCTTTGAAAAGTCCTTGGTGGAGGGGCTGGAGTGACAGTCCAGTGGGTAGAGCATTTGCCTTGTGCTTGGGCCAACTGGATTTTGATCTCTGGCCTCCCTTATGGTTCCCTAAGCACCATCAAGAGTAATTCCTGAGTGCAGCACCAGGAGTAGCCCCTAATAATTGCTGGGCATAATTCAATACTCTCTCTCCCCCAAAAAAAGTCTTTGGTGGGGGCCAGGGGGATAGCCCAGTGGTCAGGAATCCAGGTCCCCAGTTCAAATCCCAGCACCATATGACCTCTAAGTTTCACCAGGTGTAACCCCTGGAGGTTCCTGAGCTTTTCAAGGTGTGGTCCTAGAAGTCTCTGTTTCTTTATCACCACCTGGAGGTCCCCAGCACCACAAAGCCGAAGCAGTACCGTAGCCTCTGGCCCCCAGACTGAGACATATGACCTGGTGTGAAAATCATGGCCCTAGAGAATGGGAATATTTGGGTGCCAGGTGATATGCACTGTGTACAAAAAGGATCATGACAACCATGGCTCAATGCAACGTGGGCCAATCATGCAAATATTAATTCCATTGAGGAAAAGAAATCAGACACACATGAAATATAATACAGAGTCCCATTTACACAAAGTCTATAGCAGGGAAAACCAAGCATTTGTGTTTAGGAATGCATCCTATGGTGCTGAGTCAGTGCTAAGAGCAAGGAAGTGATAGCTGGAGAAACCCAAGGAGGAGGAGAGGTGCAGGTCATGTTTTAGCCTTGACCTACTGGATAACTTTGTGGGGTTTGCTTTAATCCTAATCCATTGATCTATTCTTTAATTTTTCATGTTTCAAAAATATGTTGAACCAGAATCCCTCTATCCAAGGATATATTATGAGGTGAATATTGATCCTGAATTTTTGGCCTAATGAGTAGCAAGATAATAACCTTTATCTCATTGACCTGAACTCAGTGGGGACAGCACCCTGGCCCAGTCACTGATGCTACCCCAGTTAAGTGCCCAAGAGACAATGTGCTCAATAAAACGGTTGTGGAATGAATGAGTAAAGAAATAGAGGAACCATATTCAATCCGTTTGAGCACAGATTGGAAGAGTCAGGCCATGAGGCAGCTAGGCATTGAGCGGGATCCAGATTGAAACTCCAGCTGTGACTTTGTGTAGCTAGACAGTCTCTCTTGGCTTGTGTCCTCATCTGTAAAACAGACTTCATGAGCTTCACAGGCTGGCTGGGAGACATAAGAAAGTGAGTTCGTGTCTCCTAATGAGCCTGGCACCTCCATCAGCACTTAGGGGGTGGGGGGAGAAAGTGATCACCTTGCATGTCCTCCTTGTCAACCTGCAGCAAGGATCGTAACTCTTGGGGGATGATGACATGAGCACCAGCAACTTCCAGTCCCTGCTGTGGTGGTGGTGGTGGTGGTGGGTGTGATTCATTTGGGTGGGACCAGACTTGTTCCTGTAGAGTCAGCTGCTCCCTTAAGGAGAGTATTTATACTTAGAGCCTGTCACCAGGGAGACCATCAACAATAGAGTTTCTGCACTCACATGCTTCTCTCTGGAGGCCCACAGTTCTCAGCGGGGGAGGGCCTTCATCCCCCAAAGTTGGCAGGGTGTCATTTACGACTCACTCATGAGGACACCTGGGAAGGCAAAGAAGACACCCCAACCTTAGCAACTCCCTGGAGTCTATTCTCCTGCCTTGCTGGAAACTTTGAACTGTGGTCAAGTTCACAAAACTCGGGGTGAATCTTTGCCATGCAATTTGTGACTGCAGGGAGCCCACAGTCTTTCTCTACTCCAAGCTGGAAGGTTGAGACCCAGTATTCCACCAGAGTACTCACTGGAAACTGGATGGAAGAGCGGAAGAAGGTAAGGAAACAGAAAGGGAGGCAGGGCTGGGAGCTCAGAGGAACTGGCTGGAAAAATAGGAGGGAGGGTATCACCACTCTGAAAGCAAGGACCAAGGGTAGCTTCACTCTACGAATGTGTCCTTCGGGTCTCTGCCCTCCACAAGGGCATCCCATTCAAGTGCACACCCAGGACTCTGTTATACCTTGAAAATACAGCAGTTGAGGCATCAATACCATGGTCATGCCTCTCAGGGGCACGTTTCTAGGTGTCCGATGTTCCCTGTTCCTAATTCCACCGATAGCACAGTGGGTAAGGCATTTGCCTTGCATGCGGCCAACCTGGGCAACCCGGGTTCGATTCCTCTGCCCCTCTCAGAGAGCCTGGCAAGCTACTGAGAGTATCACACCTGCACGGCAGAGCCTGACAAGTTGCCCGTGGCGTATTTGATGTGCCAAACGCAGTAACAAGAAGTCTCACAATGAAGATGTTACTGGGCCGCTCGAGCAAATTGATGAACAATGGGAGGACAGTGACAGTGGTATTGGAATATTCTTTTGGGATATCTTGAGGTTCCACTGTGGGGCCATATGGCCCTAGCTGAGAAATACTGGTCTATCGTGACACAATGTGAGCTTAGAAATAGACAAATTCCAAGGGTCAGAGAGGTAGGACGAGGGTTAAAGAACTTTTCTAGCATACAACTGAAGCTGCAAGCCTGGTTCCAATTCCACTAAGGCCTACAGTCCCCTGGGCACCATTATGGTTCCTGAGCACAGAGAGGTGTGGCCACTGAACATGCCAGGTATGGCCTCTTCAAAAGAACAACAGGGGCTGGAGCAATAGTACAGTGGGAAGGGTGTTTGCCTTGCACGCAACCGACCTGGGTTTGATTCCCAGAATCCCATATGGTCCCTTGAGCACTACCAGGAGTAATTCCTGAGTGCAGAGCCAGGAGTAACCCCTGAATATCACTCGATGTGGCCCAAAAAGCAAAAACAACAACAAAGAACAACAAGAGAAAAAATAAAGAAAAAGAAATAAAGAGGGAGGAAGGAAGGAAGGAAGGAAGGAAGGAAGGAAGGAAGGAAGGAAGGAAGGAAGGAAGGAAGGGGAAAAAGTAAAAAAAGAAAATAAAAGAAAAAGACCCTTTCCAGCTGAATTAAATTAATTTCAGGGGATATTTATTTGTTCTTTCTCCATTTACTTTCCAACACAGCACTGTACAAATGGCGGGTGGTTAGTAGTAGCCCAACTCCCACTTCTCTCCCTTGACATACTGGAGCAGCATACTGACTTATCTGGCATGGCCTGAGGGATTGGTGTCTATTTTGCTGAACTCAGAGTTCAGACGGGGAAAAGTGGCAAAGGTCAAACTTCAGGCTAAGAAAAGCTGTGGGAAGCTCAGGTTGTCTGCAGATATCTGGGTGAGACAGAGCAGATGGAGGAATTTAAGAGACCCGCCAAGGCTCTGAGAAAAAGCAGAGGGGAAGTGTGCTGGGAAATTAAGGCATTTTAAAAACAGCTTGAATGAGGGCCAGAGCAATAGTAGACATGGAAGAGCATTTGCCTTGCATGCAGCCCACCTGGGTTTGGTATCTGCACCCCATATGGTCCCCTGAGTCTGCCAGGAGTGATTTGTGAGGTGTGGACCCCTCAAAATAGCTTGTAAGAAGGGGAAGAGTTCTTGCTCCCTTTTACACACACACACACACACACACACACACACACACACACACACACACACACACCCCACCTAGGTAAAATACTTGCTCAGGAACATTCTGAGAAGAACTAAGCCTTCACACCAGGCTGATTTTATATTTCAGGAAATGTCCTATCAATATAAATCTTCTCTTAGATTGAGCTAGTTTGCAAGATTAGAAGAGGTGGCTTCTTAAAGCATAAAATAAAATCCAATTTTAGCTGGGAAAAGAAAAGAAAATGACATGGCATGCAAATTAAAACAAAGCCCAACAGCAAAACATGGACTTCTCACCCAAAAGGGATAAAATTAAGTGATAGAATGTTAAGTGAAATGACTCAGAAAGAAAGGGATAGACATAGAAAGATTGCATTCATCTGGGGGAACATAAAGTAACAAAATAGGAAACTAACACCCAAGAATGGCAGAGATTAGTACCAGGAATTTTACTCAATGACCTGGAGGCCAACCACACATGCTAGGGGAAAAGGGAGCTCAGAAAGAGAAGGGAACACCAAACAAAGGGTGTTGAGAGGATCCTCCCAGGATGGGAAAAGCATGCTGAAAGTAGACTATCGACCAAACATGATTGCCACTCAATGCCTCTTTTGCAAACCCACAGCAATCAAAAGGAGAGAGAGGGAAATTCCCTGCCACAGAGGAAGGGTGGGGTGGGGGCTGGGGGAGTGGGAGGGATACTGGGATCCGTGGTGGTGGGAAATGCGTACTGGTGGAGGGATGGGTGTTTGATCATTGTATAATTGAAACCCAAGCACAAAAATATGTAAGTCTGGAAAATAAATAAATAAAATGTTTTTTAGTGGGAAAAAAATTAAGTGATAGAAACTGTCCCTGAAAAACACAGATATCAGAAGTTCTAGGCAAAGACGTTGAAATAACCTTAACCATGCTTAAGGAGGGCGAAGAAAAGTGGACAAATTGCTGAAGAAAATCAGAAAAATTGGGACTGGAGCGATAGCACCGAGGGTAGGGCATTTGCTTTGCAAGCGACTGACCCAGGTTCGATTCCCAGCATCCTATATGGTCCCCTGAGCACCAGCAGGAGTAAGTCCTGAGTGCAGAGCCAGGAGTAACCCCTGTGCATCACTGGGTATGACCCAAAAAGAAAAAAAAATTAGGAAAATCATAGCTACATAAAAGGAGAATATCAATAGCAAGCTAGAAATTACGAAGGGAAGCTAAATAGAAATTCTGGAGTTCAAGAATCCAATAGCCATATTAAAAACATTCTAGAAGACAGTTCTCAAACGGGGGAGATGACTCAGAGGACTGGAAACTCTTTTTTTTTTCCCCCGTGAGGAGTTTGTGTCCTGGATCTGTATCCTGAACACCAGTGGGACTACAACCCTTCCCCATCTTTTCAAAAAGGGGGTATTCAAGAGATCACGCAAATAGAAGAAAGGATCGGAGAACTTGAAAAGAGATTATTTATTAAGAAATAAACAAACCAGGAGGGGTTGGAGCAATAACACAGCGGGTAGGGCGTTTGCCTTGCACGCAGCCAACATGGCCAACACAGGTTGGATTCCCAGCATCCCATATGGTCCCCCGAGCACCGAGGAGCAATTCCTGAGTGCATGAACCAGGAGTAACCCCTGAGCATCGCTGGGTGTGACCCCAAAAAAAGCAAATAAATAAATAAATAAATAAATAAACCAGGAATCAGAGGGATAGCATAGTGGGTAAGGCACTTGTCTTGCATGCTGTCAACCAAGGTTCAATCCCTGGCATTTCATATGTTCCCCTGAGCACCATCAGAAGGGATTCCCAAGTGCAGAGCCAGGAACAAGCCCCAAGCATTGCCAGGTGTGGTCCTCCCTCCCCCCTCTCCCCCAAACCTCTCCAAGAAACCGTTGAGGCTTAAAAGAATTAAGCGAATGAGGCCTAAGGAATTTTGGCATACCACCAGGCTGATACATAGAATAGAAAAAAAAAAAGGAAGGGGAAGAGAAATCTGAAGAAATAATGACTGAGAACTTATAAAATTGGGGAAAAACTGAGAGCTGTATCTAACAATCCAAGAAATTCAATGAAATGCAAGTAGGGCCAACTTAAAGAGGACCATGTAGGGCTGGAGAGATAGCACAGCGGGTAGGGCATTTGTCTTGCACGCGGCCAACCCGGGTTCGATTCCCAGCATCCCATATTGCCCCCTGAGCACCGCCAGGAGTAACTCCTGAGTGCAGAGCCAGGAGTAACCCCTGTGGATTGCCAGGTGTGACCCAAAAAGAAAAAAAAAGAGGATCATGTAGAGGCTCACAAGTACTCTGTCAAAAGTGGAAAGTGGAAAGAATCTTAAAAGAAAAAGGAACTCCTCATATTCAAGGAAGCTGTTAGAAATTCTTAGTTTTCTCAACAGAAACCCAAAGGTCATGGGGTGATGAATTTGAAGAGCTGGGGAGGGCGAGACCCTGAGTCTCAACTCCAGTACTTCAGGCCCACCCCATGGATGCTGGGTGTGGCCCTGGAGTCTCTGAGCTCAACCAGATTTTTCCTGGGTCCCTGAGCACCCTCACAACAATTAAGTCCAAAAAACCACAAATTTTAAAGGAACGAGTAAAATTCTTTGTTTTCAAAGAATAGCTTCCACGTATCAAATATATGAGATATGAGATCACACACACACACACACACACACACACATACACACATACAAACACATTAAAAGATATACAAGGCAGGGCTGGAGAGAGAGAGAACAGTGGGTAGGGTGTTTGCAAAGCTTTGCACACAGCTGACCCGAGTTCAATCCCTGACATCCCATATGGTCTCCTGAGAACTTCCAGGAGTAATCCTTGAGTACTGAGGCATGAGTAAGCCCTGAGCACTGCCGGATATGGCCCCAAACTCAAAGCAACACAACAAATCGTTGTTGACAGACACAAGATACCATTCCATGGAAGCACATCCGTTGTTTATGTACTGGAAGACTTCATATACAGAACAGTGTTTTACAAAGTTATTGATAGTTGGGTTTTGGGCACTTAATACTTCAACACCAACCCCCCCACCAGCACCAACTTCCCTCCATCAGTGTTCCCATATTCCCACCCCACCCCAACCCCTGCCCCATCCCCCGCCTTTCAACTTGACAGGCATATTACAAAGTTCCAGGGGTTGCAACTTAGATCTCATGTTTTCAGTGTTGTTGAGTCTGTTCTTTGGATATATGGTTATACCACTCACCCATATCACAATTATAGCCAAAGCTCTGATTCCCAATGCTTCCCGTTCTCTTCTTCCCCCCTTGATTTCTTTCTTTTTCTGTCCTTCTTTTTAAACGCTGGGGTCCAGTATGATCTAGGCATTCCCTCTTTATTACAATGCATTTCCAGTATTCTATATATCACAGATAAGTGAGATCATCCTGTGTTTTGGAAGACCTAGTATAGTTAATATGTTAATACAAGCGTAAAATCATATTCATAGCATCGTTTGATTTGTTTTTGCAAAAATTAAAAACTCTACTATAAGATTCACTAGGAATCCCAGAAAGCTAACCATTCGGGAGCAATGTGTGAGAACACAGGTTCGATCCCTGGCACCACACACACACACACACACACACACACACACACACACAGAGTGATTTTAGTGATATCATGTTAAGAATATTTAATGAGCTCAAAGAAATGATGCTTGAGGTTATGGTACTGCCAGCAGGTCAACCTGTACCTGCAGAGTAAGTGCATCAGTGCTTTCTGACTTCTTGATACCCAAAATTGCAGCTGTGCCTTTGGCCAAACCTGGGGAAACAACATGGGGTCAAGTTGCCAAGAAATTATCACTGTCACTGTCCTCCCGTTGTTCATCAATTTGCTCGAGCAAGCCCAGTAACGTCTCCATTGTGACAATTGTTACTGTGTTTGGCATATCCAACACATCACAGGTAGCTTGCCAGGTTTTGCCGTGAGCGCGAGATACTCTCGGTAGCTTGCCGGGCTTTCCAAGAGGGGCAGAGGAATCGAACTCGGGTCTGCCATGTTGGCTGCGTGCAAGGCAAATGCCCTACCCGCTGTACTATTGCTCCAGCCTGCCAAGAAATTAAATGGCCAAAAGTTAGGTATGTGGGAGCCACACCCACAGACCACCTCCTGCTCAGCTATACAAGCTCATTTACTGACCTTATTTCACTGCACTGGAGCACTGTCCTCCCGTTGTTCATCGATTTGCTTGAGCGGGCCCAGTAACGTCTCCATTGTGACGCTTGTTACTGTGTTTGGCATATCGAATACATCACTGGTAACTTGCCAGGCTCTGCCGTGCAGACGAGATACTCTCGGTAGCTTGCCAGGCTCTCCGAGAGGGGTGAAGAGACCAGCAAGCTACCAAGAGTATCTCGTCTGCAGGGCAGAGCCTGGCAAGCCATGCCGGGCCTTATTTCAGAGACCCATAAATCTCGAAAGAGATCAAAAGCTGCAGTTAGGGCCAGCGCTCTATGGGGGAGCTGGCACATCCTGCAGGGCATATGACAATAGTTTATTTCTCTGGAAAAGGTAGAAACAAGGGCCATGATCCAGAGACACACAAAAGAATCTTTGAACCAAGCAGCTTGCTCAGAGATGCCTCCGGACTTTAAGCCAAGCTGACTTCACTGGGGTGCCTCAGATGGGGGCAGGCATTTTCCCTCCACCTGCACCCTAAGAGCCCCGGAAGCCACCAACTTCCAGAACCCAATGAGAAGTGCAGGTGCTCAGGTTCAGTGACAAGAAACTCCAGGCCTCAAGGGATAGGGGACGGACCTGTCCCTCTCATACCTTCATCCCCATGGGACCTTGAAGGTCATGCCCACAAACTGCCTCCAGCTGCCCCTTATCACCCATGATTCAGAGACACACAAAAGTATCTCCGAACCCAGCAGCTCACTGCAGAGAATTCTCCAGACCCTAATCGTCTAAAAGTTTAGAATTCCAGGAGCACGCAGTTGTTCTTGTGGCTGTGTGGCATCTTATGTTATTTATAACAAGCAATACGAAAGAGAGTGTGGGGGAGATTGTCTGCCATAGAGGCAGGGGGAGGGGTGGGGGGGATACTGGAGACATTGGTGGTGGAAGATGTGCCCTGGTGGAGGGTTGGGGGATCGATCATCAGATGGCTGAAACTCAAACCGGAAAGCTTTGTAACTGTATCTCACAGTAATTCAATAAAAAAATTAATTAAATTAACCTGTGTCAGCCATGTTGGCTGCATGCAAGGCAAACGCCCTACCCGCTGTGCTATCGCTCCAGCTCGGAGAGCCCGACAAGCTACCGAGAGTATCTCGCCCGCACGGCAGAGCCTGGCAAGCTACCCGTGATGTATTTGATATGCCAAGCACAGTAACAACAAGTCTCATGATGGAGACGTTACTGGGCCCTCTTGAGCAAATCAATGAACAACGGGAGGACCGTGTGATCCGTGAAATCAAATTAACATTCTGAATTTAAAAAAAAAGTAATGTGGAGTTCATGCCCAATTCAATCAGTTTCATCAATGGTTGAATAAATAGCAGTACTCCTACACAAGAAGAAAGAAGAAGAAGAAGAAGAAGAAGAAGAAGAAGAAGAAGAAGAAGAAGAAGAAGAAGAAGAAGAAGAAGAAGAAGAAGAAGAAGAAGAAGAAGAAGAAGAAGGAAGAAGAAGAAGAAAGAAAGAAAGAAAGAAAGGAAGGAAGAAAGAAAGAAAGAAAGAAAGAAAGAAAGAAAGAAATGATGCTCAACTAAGTGAAAGAAATGTAGTCGGCAAACACACGTGAAACGTAATGGGGACATAAACATTAAAAAGAAAAAAGAAAGAAATGTAATGGGGACGAAGTGTCCAAAAGACAAAGATAGAGGAGGTGAAGACAGGGCAAGAGGGTGCGAGAGCAGGCGATACCCTCCCCAGGGGCTAGAGGGGCCGCAGGTCCCAGAGTCCAACCCACCGAAGGAGAGGGCAAGGTTAAGTCTGCACCATGTGGGGTGCTCTGGGCTCTGTGTGCCCGGGTCTGGGGTCAGGGCAGGGGAACAGGGAAGCTCAGAGAAGGGCCTTCCTGGGGCTGCTTCTGAACGCGGGGTCTTTTCCAGTTCCACAAGACTGCTGAGAAAACCCCCCAGTGCATGTACAGAAGCGAGTTCATCCATTTCCCAGGCCACAGGCCTGATCAGGTCTCCAGGTGGTACGCGAAGAGAAAAAATGAGGTAACAGGAGCCCCAGGCTCATGCGGGGTGGGGTGGGGGGACATAGCACAAGCGACACCATCAGTCTGTTCTCTCCGGATGCCTGTTGGGGGCTCAGGAGACCACCCCTCCCCCACCCAGGACTGCAGCCTCAGTCTCACTTCCCTGCAGCCCACCCTGCCGCCCCCAACGCACAGACTGGTTCCCATCTGTATGTCCCAGCATACTCCTAAATCACTGCCCCCCCACCCCTCTCCTTCTCCCTCCTCCTGTTCTGGGGATTTAGCCAGGGATGAGGGACACAGCCTGAGGTACTGAACAGGGGAGCTGAGTGAATATTGAATGACGAAGGATGTGAAGGGGAATTAAGAGAAATCGTGCAGAGTTCTCCAAGTGCAGAGCAGAGATCTCAGCACTGGGCGCTGGTGCTCAGCCCGGCTGCCCGTGTCCCCTCTCTTCAGACTGCTCTGTTACAGCCCAGCCAGGGGGGCAGGCTGGTTCACACACCCTCCGCCTCCTATGAGTTGGTAGTTTTGGTTTTTGTTTTAAGTTGTTTTTGGCCCCAGTGGGGCCCAAGTGACAGTATAGTAGGTAGCCTTGCAACAGCCAGGTTCGATCCCTGGCACCCCGTGTGGTCCTATGAGCATCACCAGGAATAATTCCTGGGCACAGAACCAGAGTAAGCCCTGAGCACCATCGGGTGTGGCCCAAAAATCAAAGGAAGAAACACAAACAAACCCAAAAACATAAAAGAATTTTTGCCCGAGGGACAGCACAGGGGGTGAGGTAGAGGGTTCGCCTGGCATGCGGCTGACGCGGGTTCAATCCTCTGCATCCCATATGGTTCCCCAAGCATGCCAGGAGTAATTCCTGAGTGCAGAACCAGAGGTAACCCCTGAGCATCGCTGATGTATCCCTGCCCCCTCAACCCCCAGTCCCCCAAAGAGTAGTTCACTTCAGTAAGAATGTGCCACAAGTTCTGGCCCTGAACAGTTGGTGCTTCCAGAACAGGCAGGAACCATCTGTGTTGGCGGCGCTGGGAACTGGAGAAGGCAGGTCTGGGGGTGCCCCCCGAGGGACACCTGTCCTTTCAGCTCCCTTGGGCAGTTTCTCCAGATAATGCTTTGGGCCCCTGCTGCCCATGAAAACGGTGATGGTTCGGCTTTCCTGGTCCCGACCCCTCCCCTGAACTCAACTGGGGTGCTAATGTGGAGTCCTTGAGCTTGGCCCTTATCCTCAGGTGAAGGGTGCCGCCATCTGTCCTTGCCCTGAACCCACTGGGCTCGTGGGGGCGGGAGCCAGCAGGCGGCTGCACCCCCAGTGTGTTGCAGACAGAGCCCGATCCTCACCACCAGCTGCCCCGCGTGACTCCCGGTCTTGTTTTTGTTTCTTTGCTGAGCTCTTCCGGCCCATGCTCAGGGGGCTTGGGGGTCGCTCTTGGTGCTACTCAGCCACCCTGGCCAGATGGTCCAGTGCTCAGCATGATGTCCTGGGTACCATCAGAACCACCCCACTGCTCCTCATGTAGGACTGAGATTCCAACTCACTCCTGCACATACCAGGCATGCCAGTACCTCCTGCCCAGAAGGGGGCGCTACTGCCCAGCCTGTCAGATGAACCTGCCAGAATTTCCTTTTGGGTTGGTAGCCAGGAGCACATAGTTCCCCAGCACCACCAAGGAACCCCAGGTCTACAAGGCACCCAGCACCCAGCACCCAGTACCCCAGCACATAGCACACAGTACCCAGCACCTAGCACTCAGCACATAGTAGTCAGCACATAGGCCCCAGCACCATACAGGTCCCACTATCACCTTGACATGTTCAAAAATGTTGGTTTCCGGATCTGCTGGCATCCTTTTTTGTTTGTTTGTTTTTAAATTGAATTGGGCTAGAGTGATAGCACAGTGGTAGGGCGTTTGCCTTGCACGCAGCCAACATGGCTAACCCGAGTTCGATTCCTCCGCCCCTGTCGGAGAGCCCAGCAAGCTACCGAGAGTATCTCGCCCACACGGCAGAGCCTGGCAAGCTACCCGTGATGTATTCGATATGCCAAACACAGTAACAACAAAGTCTCCAATGGAGACGTTACTGGGCCCGCTCGAGCAAATCGATGAACAACGGGAGGACAGTGACCTTTAAATTGAATCACTGTGAGATAGTTACAAGCTTTCATGTTTGAGTTTCAGTCATACAATGATCGAACACCCATCCCTCCACCAGTGTACATTCCCTACCACCAATGTCCCCAGTACACCTCCCCTTTCCCACCCTCCCCCTGCCTCCATGGCAATTTCCCCCATTCTCTCTCTCTCTCTCTCTCTCTCTCTCTCTCTCTCTCTCTCTCTCTCTCTCTCTCTCTCTCTCCTTTTGGGCGTTATGGTTTGCAATACAGATACCGAGAGGCCATCACATCTGGTCCTTTATTCTACTTTCTCTGCTGGCATCCTTGAGCCACACTGTGCCCTGGGTGCCCTGCTCTGCCTCTGAACACCCACCTTTGCCATGATTGGCACCGAGGACTCAAATGCCCATGAGGGGACTGTAAGGTAGAGCCTTTGGTGGGCAGTTTCCAGCCCCCAGTCACCAGGCAGGAGACACTTGACCTAGTCCAGACACTGGGTGCTTCTTCTCAGGCTCAGGAGACCTGGGTTCCATCCGCAGCTTTGCGTGGTCCCCGAGAACTGCCAAGAGCACCCCCTGAGCACAGAGCTGGGAGTAGCCCCTGCACATTACCAGGTGTGGCGCCCCCCAAAACACAAGAAGAGACAACAGTCTCCTGCCAAGCCCCGATGAAGGAAGGGTGAACCGCACTCATCTCTGCAACGTGGCTGAGACAGACCCCAGCCAGTACATCCCACCAGGGGCGTCAGGCCCTCAGGGCTGCCTGCACAGCTGACCCTGGGCAGGTGCCCTGCCCACCACTCTTCCTCCTAACGGATCCCCCTAACTGAGGCGGGCATGGAGGGGCGAGCATGGGTCAGGCCTGTCTCCAAGCAGGTGGACTCACTCCTTGTACATTTTCTCTATTTTAGGGATCTTTGACCTCTTAGGGCCCCTGGTCCTAGAGCCCCACCCCCCTCCACATCCCCTTCCTCTGAGCACTGGGCCCCCTGCCCTGAGTCGCTCCATGGCCAGGTACCCCAGAGGCGCAGGGTGGCAGAACTTGCTGGAATTATTCAAACGCAGCAACCTCCCCCCCGCCAAGCCTGGCCCTGGTGCCCCGCGGTGAGGGCACCAGGCGGGATCTCTCCTGTCCCCCTTCCTCCTGACCAACACGGGCTCTGCCCTGGCTCACCCCTTGGAGGTGACATGCCCTGCCCCTTTCTCAGGAACTGGGACATACTCTCTCTGGCAAAGGCTGCCATGTCTGTCCCCACACCCGCTGGAGACATGAACCATGTGGCACCATGTCCAGAGGGCAGGACGGAGGAGCCCCCAGCAAGAGCCTGCTGGGACCCCTCCCCTCTCGCCCAGCTCGGGGGCTCTGCATTCCCTTCCCACGATGGGGGCCCCATCGGTTTCCCTGGCATTGGACCTCGGGGCCCCTGGGGGTTCGGATCTTGGGAAGCCCAGCTTGAGGTCTCTGCCCAGCCCGGCCCGGGCTCCCTCCGGCATTGTGAGCTGACTTATTTATGGAGCATCCCTTGAAATATGGGGTGCAGACAGCCACTACACACCCCGGCAGACACAGACAAGGGGGCGGCTATGGAAATCAGCCTCCGTCTCCCTGTAAATCAGGGATTCCTGTTCTCCCGGCTCCAAGCATTTTTCTTCGAAAAAGCAACGATTCAGGCTGCCGCCCCCGAGTCGGAAGACCCCGGCTTTCTTAACCTCCCTCCAGCCAACCCTCCCCTCGTATCCAGTCTGGGGTAGGCTGGGGGGGCTGTAAATCCTTCACAGGAGACAATTTATGGCGCTCTCCCTGCCCCTGACACAGAAATGGCGCAAGTCCTGGCGCATCCTCCAACAGGCCCAGATCTCAGAGTCTGGGCCGATGCACTCCCCTGCTCCCCTGCTCTGCCCCCACCCCCAAGCTGGTCCCAGGGTCACTCGACTGCACTCTGACCTCACCAAGCTGGCCTGAATGTCGGGATGAGCCAGCAGCCGAGCCCCTCAAAGCTCTGGTCCTCACTGCTTACCTGCCTGCCCAGGGGCTCCCCTACAAGCACGTGATGGAGCAGCGCCAGGAACCACCCCACGGGCACCTCATCAGCTCCTACGACGACCACTACAACCGGCACAACTACAACCCAGGGCAGCCCCTGTGCCGCGTCTGGAACCGACACACGAACACGTGGGTCCCCGAGAGGAGTGACCGGCCCCTTCTCGGTACTGGTGCTGCCCCGGCTCTTCTTCTCCATCCCCGGGGGTTGGGTGCGGTGGGGTGTCCCCGAGGCCACGGGAGCCACAAGCCTTGTCTCCCTGGAGCGGCAGGCTGCCCTCTCCTCTGACACGGGGTGATGGTGGCCATGCAGGGGCCCGCAATGTCGCACCCCTGCACCCGTTCACCTGACAACGGGGACCCAGGGAGGAATTCCTGCTCCGGGGTCGGGGCACAGTGAGGGTGCGGTGGATGGAGTGGCCGCTGAGCGAGGAGAAGCCTGAGTATATAGGATAGAGCTCTGGGATTTGGGGCCTCTTTGGGGAAATGATGGGAAGGAACACTCTAGAGGGAGGTAGCTGACGGAGAAGCTGGACAGGGGCTGAAGGACGCCTAAGTGACAGGGCAAGACCAGGCAACGGGTCCCAGCTCACAGTACAGGACTCGGACCTCACGATGCTTAAGACTGGGCAGTGACCACAAGGAGTGGCCAGGCTGATGGCTCTCGGCTGCCCCATCCCTGGTGTTCAGGGCCAGGGGCAGAGCCTGGAGATGCAGTTCCTGAGGTTCTGGGAGGAGACTGTGGTCGGAGCCGGGGTTCACCCTCTGCTGACCAGTGCTGACCCCTCCTGGGTCCTTAGGGAGTGAACCTGAGCCAGGACACCAACCCAGGAGCCTGGGCAAAGTTCTGGGCTCTGTGCCCCGGTCTCTTTTTGTTTGTTTGTTTTGTTTTGGGTCACACCTGGATATGCACAGGGGTTACTCCTGGCTCTGCACTCAGGAATTACTCCTGGCAGTGCTGAGGGGACCATATGGGATGCTGGGAATCGAACCTGGGTCGGCCACATGCAAGGCCAATGCCCTCCCCGCTGTGCTATCACTCCAGTCCCTGTGCCCCAGTTTCTGGCCCTCAGGACCGGCTTCCCCCACCCCGTCCCCTTCCCACAGTCCTGCTAACCCGGACCCTTGTCCCCTGCAGCACCGCCTACCAACTACGGGCTCTATGAGCGGCTACGGCAGGGTTGGCTGGCGCCCGAGGAGCACCCACGGAGGAGTGTCTACTCTGAGTCCTACCCGGCCCCTCCGCGGAGCGCCTTGTCCTGGCGCCAGCACGCTGTCCCCCTCCTGTTCCCTCGCTTCAAGCCCATCCCACACGTGGTTTGAAGAATGTCACCCCATCGGATACGGATAGCAGAGATGGAGCCAGCTATGGTCCACCCCAACCCCAGCCCATGCCATCCGCCCTGCGCAGGTGTCAGGGGTTTCTCCCCAGAGTTTTGTACACACACGAGCCTCCCCGAAGATCCCTGAATCCTGGTCTAGGTTGAGGGTTCACCCCCTTCTCCAGACACTCAGCTGCCTTCCGTTCCCTCCCCACCATTAAAGGCCTTTGACACAGTGACGTGTCGTGTGCACGGGAGACAGGGGGAGGCTCCCTTTCCCCTCTGTTTTAGGGGAAACTGAGGCCCAGCTTTCAGGAGCACTGTAGCCAATGGAAGCCCACCAGACCAGGTGGCCACAAGCTCCAGGGGACTTGGGATGTAGTTGTAGGAGGACATGGCCGTGACATGGGGGGGCCTGGGTATGTCAAGGGGAGACCCCGTGAACACATTGGTTAGTGGGGGGGCCAAGGAAGGGATACATAGCATCTCTGGAATCTCCAGGAAGGTGGAAGTGAGACCCTTCGGCTGAGTGACTTTGGAATGAGCCTCCCCTCCCCCGACTCAGTTCTTGCCAATCCTGAGACTCTCCTGGACAGGTGTTGGCACTGACTGTGCTGGTCGACGATGAGTCCCTGGAGATGCGGTCAGACATTCTGGGTGGCCTTGACCTTCCCAGGCTGGCCTTTCTCTGGTGACCATCTGGGCCTCCTGATTCCCTGTCAGTTTGCCAAAAGGGACTCAGCACTCAGGACAGAGTGTTGGTGATGAGTGGCAGACTGGTGCCTCCCTCTGGGTTCCCCCTCCATCCCACTCAGCTTCCACTGTGAACCTCGATTCGTTGTGCCCCCGGGACCCCTCTCCAAGCTGGTCTCAGTCTGACTTGAAGACCCCCAATTGCCCCAGAACTCAGATTCTATCTGCACCCCTGACCCAGAGGCAAGATCCCCTCCTCCAGTTCCCACCCCAGCGGAAATCACCTCGAGGCTGAAGACCCCCCCCTTTAGGACCCTCCCCCGACACCCCCACAGGTGTCACTACCCCTTGGGGACTCTAGCACTATCCATGGGCGGCCAAGACAAGAAAACAGTCATTTCTCTTTTTTGGAAGAAAACCTCATTCTTGGAACTTCTGCCCCTTGCATCTTGATACTTTCTGTATGCTATTACATTCTCACAAATAAAAAAGTGTTGGGGAGAAATTTGTTTTATTTTGCTTTTTTGTTGTTGTTGAACCATACCTGAGCTCAGTGCTCGGGGCTCACTCCTGGTGGTGCTCATGGAATCCTTTGGCGGGGCAGGGGATTGAACCAGCATTAGTTACATGCAGGCAAACACCTTATAACCCCTCTTAAGGCTGTGCCCCCTCCCTGCCCTCGCAACTACACCCCGTGATCCCTGGTCCATACAGGTCACCTAGTCAGATGGGCTTTCCCCATTGGCTAAGGTGCTCCTGAAGGCTGTGCACCTAGCTGGGCCTCAGTTTCCCCTGGGTAAGAGGAGAGAGCCTTCGTGGCTTTCCCATGTCTCCCTGGTCCTTGAAAAAAATTGAGTTGAGGGCTGGATTGATAGTCCAGCAGGCTGGGTGCTTGCCTTGCATATGTCTGACCCAGGTTCGATCCCCGGTATCCCATATGGCCTCCCGAGCACCCCCAGGAGTGATGAGCCAGGAGTAAGCCCTGAGCATTGCCAAGTGTGACTTCCCCTTCCAATCCCCCCAAATTGAGTTAGGATTCACGTGGATCAGGTGCAGAACTCTGATCCCGAGCTGGGCGGAAACAGGATGATTTCTGGGATTAGCGGGCAGGTTACTGTGTCCTGTGACCCTGGGGTTCCCCATGTAGTCACTTAGTCAGGTGGGCCTTCCCCATTGGCTAAGGCTGCAGGCCCAAATCCTAAACTTTCATGAGAGGGTGTGTGGGGACGCTGGCGGTGGGGAGGGATCCGGGAGCCCGCAGACCCCCCTGGACAGCCCCCCCGGGCGGCCATTTAGAATCCCGGGATCTGAACCTGGCCTGGTCCGTGGTGGCTTCTGCATACTCTTGTGCAAAACCATTTTCTGAGAATTTCCAGGACAGGGAGCTTCAGACCTGAGGCATGCGCCTTGCACGCCGGAGCCTCGGGCCCCTCCCCACCACTGCACGGTCCCCTCAGTGCTGCCAGGTCTGGGGTGCCCTTGGCCCAAGAGCATGCACCTGTTGAGTGAGGGGGTTTGTCCCGCGGGCAAACAGGACTGGACAAACTGCCTGCCAGGACACAGGCAGCATAGCCGCTTCTGCATGTCCTTTGCCATGAGTCAGCTTGAGGCGCCCCCTGGCTCCTGTGTGCCCGTGAGCACACGCTGGCGCTCAGTGACGTGGGCAAGTGACTGTCCGCCAGCAGAGGATGGGGCTAAAGAAGGTGGCCCCCACCCGCCCCGGGTGCTCAGTTGAGGGAAGGAAGTATGGAGGGCTAAGTGGGCCTGAGCGATAGTACAGTGGGTAGGGCATTTGCCTTACATGCAAATCGGACCTGGGTTCGATCCCCAGCATCCCAAATGGTCCCCTGAGCACCACCACGAGTAACTAACCCCTGAGCATCGCTGGGTATGACCCAAAAAGCAAAAAATAAAGAAAGAAATGAGAGAGATATAAAGGGAAAATATGGGGCCAGGAGCTAAGAGCGATGGGAATGAGAGCCCGACTGCCCTTCCTGTGCAGTATTCAACGCTCCCATCCCACGAACATTACGGGAAGGAGAACCACAGCCTTGTATGTCCTGCCTATCTTAATCTAACAGGACTCATACATATTCACAGGGGCCTCAGGGGACAGGGACAAGCCTCTTTCCTGTGGGATTGTCTAAAGGGAGTAATTCTCGGGGTGGAAAGGGAGCAGGGGCGCTTGGTGGTTTCCACATCGGCATCAGTTTTCTGGGTTTGGAGGATTCTGTTTTCTGCCCATTCTGCCTTTCTCCCTCATTCTTTTGTGTTTTTCCCCCCCTTTTTTTTTTTCCTTTTTGGGTCACACCTGGTGATGCTCAGGGGTTACTCCTGGCTCTGCACTCAGGAATTACTCCTGGCGGTGCTTGGAGGACCATATGGGATGCCGAGGATCGAACCTGGGTTGGCCACGTGCAGGCAAATGCCCAATACGCTGTACTATTGCTCCAGCTCTCCCTCATTCTCTATTTGTCCTCAGTTCTGAGAGGGGCAGGTGTTCCCTTCCCCCCCACACACACACGTGAGCGTGCACAGCTGAGTCAGCCTGGCCTCTCTGAACCTTCTGCCCAGCAGAGGAGGGGACAGTCAGCATTCCATGTGTGGCCCCCCAAGCCCCAAACCAAAAATAGCACATGAGACACAGGGTGTTAGGGGACAGGTGGGGGGGGGGGACTCAAGAGGGATGTGGAAGTGCTCCATGAAAGGGGTGGCTTAGAGCAGGGATGGGGGTGAGATGTGAGGGAATCAAGGAAGGCTTCCAGAGAGAGGGGTGTGTATGGGGAGGCTGGACAGCTGAGGGGCCGTCGGGGAAAGGGACGTGTGAGAGGGAGGCCAGGGCACCTGGCAAGGACAGAGTGTGTGCCCGGAGGAGCTGGAGGCACTTGGGGGGCTTGTTAATGCCGTAACAGCACCGTGTGTTAGTGACAGTACTCCAGGACCACCTGGGGCGGCTAGAATTGTGCGGTTCCTTCTGCCGTGACTCTGCCGCTCTCTGGAGGCTCATGGAGGGACTGCACCCTGCACTTGGCCGGCTTGTGTGTGTGAGGATGGGGGTTTGCTGAACTCTGCCTGCTCTGTGTGTGTGAGTGTGTGTGTCTATGTGTGTGTGTGAGTGTGGGGGGAAGGTGGGTTATTGGGGGATCCCTTGCCCCTTTCCCCTAACAGCAGCCTGTTATCCTCTTCTCTCCCTCTCTGCACAACCCTCTACATCTGGGTGCCTTGGCCGAGTTCCTGCTCCGAAACCCTTCACTTCACCACACAGTTCCTGTGGAAGCTTCACCCTGTGCTCAGCCACGAGGGTGAGGAGGTGACCGCTGGGGGGGTGGTGGTGGTGGTGGAGAGGGTCAGGCTCAGGGGGGAGAGAGAGAGCCACGCTCAGGACCTGCAGATAGAGTGTCACACTGAGGCCGTGGAGATAGCGGGCGACACTCAGGAGCTGTGATTCCTGGACTCACAGGTTGGGGGGCATGAGATGTTACCGTCCCTCCCTACCCCGCCCTTTCCAGCTCAGATGGAAGCAGCAGTAATTTCAAACTCAAAGGAAAGAACAACCCAGGACTAGGGATGTGGTTCTATGGAACTGAGCACATGCTTCACACACAGGAGTCCTCGGTTCAATTCCCAGCGGTGCTTGTGGCCCCAAGTACTGGGAGTGGCCCTTGAGCACTGAGCCCAGAGTGGAGTCTGAGCACCGCTGGCGAGTGCCCTCCTCCTCAAACGGCAGCAACAAAGCAACAACAGCAAACTAAACAAAGCACTGAGCCCAGAGGTGGTGCAGTATCAGCCCTTCCTAAGTGGTCAGTCTATTGCTCCATGTTCAGATAACGACACAACTGGGCCTGAACCACCGCCACGGAGAACCGTGGAGTCCACTCAGCTGCCAGTGCCAGTGTCCAAGACAGGGCCAGCATGCAGCGGCACTGAAGAGAGCCTCATTAATTATCCCAGCCCACCCATCCAGAACAGCCCAGTTAACGCTGCACGCCAGGAGCAGGTCCATGGGCTGGTTCAAGTGCCCTCTGGTGGCCACTTTAATACCAGGCGACAGGACTTACAAATGAATCTCGAAAGAGTTTCTGCATGCTGCAGAGATGTCTCTGGACCCCGCGCCTGATTTCACCGGGGCGCCTCAGAGGGGAGCAGGCTTTGTCCCTCTGCCTGTCCCAGATGAACCCCGGCGGACGAAACCTCCAGAACCCAATTGCCGCCGTGCTCAGAGCTGATCTTCACAGGCTGGTCCCTAGCTCCCCATGGATGAATGTGAATCTGCTGAAAAGCCCAGGTATGCAGGACCAGTGACGAAAC